ATAATGTACAGCACTTTTATGTCTTCTGCTGAATTAAACATGCAAGGAATAGCCTGTTCTGGGCGCTGGAGCTGAAGCAAAGAGAGAGGGAATTTTAAAACGCCTTTCTATGCCCCCCCCCTTCAGAAAAGTCTCCAGAGAACTGCTGAACATTCTTTACAATTAAAAAGATCTGTCGCAGATAGGCTGAGCTGAGGGAAGCTGAACAGGACAGCCCTGTTTTCACTAATTGGTCTGGTTGAAAAGGACTGTCAGTTGTTGTTGGGCAGGAGCAGCCAATCGCCAAGTGGAGGGCCGGAATACCGCTCGGAAATACTCCTGAGACTTCCCTTCCACCTCCAGCTTTCGTTGTTAGAGCCGTAAATTCCATCATGAAAAATATCTCGCTCCTTTTCACATTTCTGTCATGTCTGTGCTGCAGCAACAGATCAGGCTTCACAAGTTACAAATCTGGCCGTCTCCAACTCCTGGATCCGAGGCGGATAACTTAGTTTTTCCAGACGCACTCGGTCTCAGGTGGGTTAAACACAAAAAAAGCTAACTGCTGCTGTCTTCTCATGCTCTCTGCGGGGGAAATGGTTTCAGTTTCTGCCCAGCTTCTGCTCTTTTTCAGACTCCATGTCTCTAATCTGAGAAGAGAAAGTCTCCTTTTCTCTCCCGGCCTGTTTGGTATTCCCCAGATGGAGCGCAGAACTACCACCCTCCCCTCCCTTCTGGCCCCTTTTCCTTTCTGACAGAGCCAACTGACCTGTTACTGAGCGCTCTGCATGCAGTGGGGGCCAACACTCACAGAGACAAGGACAAGACTCTACAGGGGTGAGGCTCATAAGAGAAGCCTCCAGCGGCACATGCGACATGAGGCGCCACGGCGAGCTAAAGATCAGAGAGGGGGACGTGTAATTATCACATCCCGCGTTCAGCTGGCCGCAGGAACAGCAAGGGAAGAAAAAAAATCAATACAAGGGAATCATGGAGGTGTGGAAAAAAAGATCAAACATGTTCTAATATATTCAAAAGGTATTTTATATTCTGTTACTGGATTCTTAGGTGATATGTTCCTTTAAAGGGGCAGCATTATGTATTTTCCAGGCACATGGTGCCATTTTATAGTACAAATATCTGTTACCTTCGGTTGTTATAAAAATGCTACATATATCAAATATAACTTAAAAGGAATTTAACTTTGTAAATCAACACCTTGAAATTGGGCCTGTTTCTTCAAAAGCTCCTGCTTTATTAACCCTTTAGCAAAGTTTTTCCAGTGTTGCATTGAGAAGTAGTTCCTATAATGAGCTCAGCAGTTCCACCAGGTGTTTGCTAATTGCTGCTGGCTAGTCTGAAGGAGCTGAGTAGAGGAAGTGAGAGGAGGAGCTGCGTCTTGAAGGTGGAGCAATGACCAACCAGGTGTTTTGCTGAGCTGGATGGTTGAAGTAAAGGATTTATCAAACATGCATGGAAGAGTCAAAGCAACACTCCAGGTGTTTTTGATGAGAGAATAACATTATAACATGATATAAAACTAAAACATATAGCTTTACATAATATTGCTCCTTAATCTGTAACTCAAGAAGTCAAATAAAGCACAGTAGCTTCAGAACAATAATGTCACTTTAGAAAGTTGTGTTTTTAGTTTCCACCTGTTGTTGAGAAGGTAACAGCAGGAAAACCAGGACATCTTTCCTGTCAGCAACCCCTTCCAGTTTGTTTTGGGAAATCCTAAATCAGGACACAAAAAATATAATTTCCCTCCAGTCTTCATCATTCCATCCTCATCAGACCTGTACCACCTACTATAAACTAACTTATCCACTTCCGACCATACAAAGGTTACACATTTCAGATGCTTAATCTAGAATCTTGTTTTTTGGGTTATGACCCACATCTCAGGACTTTACATGAAAATACTTCAGATGGACTAGTAAACCATGAATTCCCTTCTGCACCGTCATGCACTGAAGGAATGCAGTCATTGCTGCAGAAAAAGCCTGACCCCGATACCGAATGGCACCGAAACAGAAAGAATGCATGTCCAACTCAGGAAAAATATCATCGTAAAGCTAAGTTATTAAAAGAATATTTCAGAAAATATTTAGATTCATCCTAAACATTAAAGAGTCAGATTGTACAACGATGACAAGCAAGCTGTCTTCTCCGGGACGAAACATAACCTTTTCTTAATCATTCTTTTAAATAACATTATTTAAATCTCTCAGTAAACACTATAAATATAAAAAAAATTTAAAATTACTATATAATTCATATTTTGACCTTATGACTTTACAAAAGTCTAGAAAAGACTTTTAAGTCATAATTCAGACTTTGTTCCATGAAAGTCTATAATCTTGAGAAAAAAGTCAATTCTGAAAATTAAAGTCAGAATTTTAGAAAAAAAAAATCTCTTTATCCATTCTTTCTCAACTGAATATATAAAATCAATTAACTTTTTAAATATTGAAATTTGCAGAAACAAACCTGTATTTGCATATGTAATGGAAATGCCTCTAGAATAAACTGCAAGATAAACATGCAGATTGCATATTACAGTGTTACTTTAAATAAATGCGTCAAACTGCACAGTGCAGTATGAGCTGTGTTACATAATGAGCATCCAGGTGTGATGGTGGATTTAACTGTAGATGCTGTGACGAAGCAAGTGTACAGTTTTTGTGTAGAGTCTGCAAAACCAGGAATAGGCCCCGGTGGCAGGTCTGTTGAAGAAGCTAAACGCAGCAAATCAGAGCAGGTGCAGCGAGGAGGAACGTTGAGGCAGTTTGGTATTTATGGACTGATAACACAGAGCAGCGTAATTAATTACCAGATTCTCTGCAGAGTCTTTTTGAAATGCTTTTCTTTTATTGAAACTGGGTTGTGCTGAAACAAAAAGTTATGACCTATGAAGATTTTTCTCGCTGAGGGTGCATCCACGCTACAAGACTCTGGGAATAATTAGGCACCAAATTTGTGATCCCAGTTTAATGTTACTTTTAGAAATCCCTGGAGAAACAAAACGCTGAGACCAGGAGCTGGATATAGTCACATATACCCATATCCCTAACAAAAATATCTCCATTTAAATATAATACAGCACTGTAAACAAAACATAAATAACTGTCTCTCTCAATTTATACTCAGACAGATATCATATACTTGCTGGAAAAATGTGATTCTTGGAGCATGGATGCACCCAACAGAGTCCTAAATAAAAAACCCCACATCCCATTTTTTCTGTAGGGAAACAATAAACACAATATGTGTAAGAACTGCAGTTACACTATGGCTGTCTGCAAGTTATTTCAACAGAATTGGCAGCTTGTGCAGACAAATGATGCGGCTGTACGCAGAGTCTCCACTGAAATATTTAGTAAGAAAGCAGATACAACTGTCTCATTTACAGAACAACAGATTGCACAGTATGTCCAACATCAATCAGCAACAAGGGAACTGCTCAGCGTGGAAGAGCTGAACCAGCTTTCCTTTAGAACAGAAAAAAATCAATATAAGATCCAAACATTTCAGCTCTTGATTTAATGGCAAAACTGCAGATTTCCAACCCACACGACAGTAGTTACAGTTCATGTTGAAGAATAACAGCTATAGTATGTTGACAATACTTTTTTTCTTTCACAGTACACTGGGTCATGAGAATAGAAAAAGGGAGAGATCAAAACATTCATTAGAAATTCCCTTTTTTCTCTTATTCTTTATGTTGAAACTGATGAAACAAATGAAAAACCGTTTTAAGTGCAGAGCTTCTGCAGGGTCTTAAAAAGATATTAAAAGTCTTATATTTGAAATCTAGGCTGTAAATTTGAAACTTAGTTCATTCATTCCTTCTTCTAATGGATGTTTAAAAACTTTTGTTCTGAGAAACAAAACTCTTCTGGTCTAAGTGAGGAAGTCAGGCATCATGATGCATTAAGTACCAGAGCAGGCAGGCCCATCGTTCATCTATCATCATCATCTGGATTCATCGTGACAATAATGATATTTAAAGACTCAAAAACTGTATTGGTGGAACTGTTATATTTACTATTTTCTACACATTCTGTTATAAGAGCATTAACATGTTGGGAAATGTGAGTATAGTTGATAATCAGGGAACAGGGACAGAAAATACTTTAGATCTCTAAAAATGCTTCTAACCAAACATACCTTAATATGCATTAATAAGCACAGTGGAGCCTGCGCTACCACCTAACACTGATCGTTTTCTTTATTTCTGTTATTGAGCGTTCAGCCAATCAGCACCTAGAAAAATAAATGGTTTTTCTATAAATAACTTGGAGTCACGTTCCACAGAAAAGTCTGAGTAGTCGGGACTCCACTGCAGTTCCAAACACTGAGTACAGATGGGTGATAAAAATCACAATACTTTATGCATTTGATGCCTGTTTGAAGAGGTGTATCTGTGTTTGTGTGTTACCGAAAAGTTACCAAAAAGAAGAAGCTGGAAATATTTTTATGTCATCACGTTTATTGTTTTTATGACGACATATTGTAATAAAATTTGACGCCTCGCTGCAGGTTGTTTGGAGAGTTAACCCTTATTTATGGTCATGTTCTCCATCAGAGGCAAACGTTAAACACGATTAAGCTTAAAAAAGGGATATCAACAGTTTTATCAAAAAACTAGTGAAGTTGGAAAAGATATCCAACTTGCTTAAGTGATTTGATAAGTTAAATATAAGGCATAATAAGTAAGTATTACTCTGTAATTCTTGTAACGTTGAGTTTTGGAAACCCTTTATTTCACCGTTTTGTTAATTGCAACAAACAACTTGTAATAAAGAGTGTGTGTTCAGATCATTTTCAGTTTTAACGGCAGCTTCAATGGATTCTCCTGTTACAAACGGTGCTGACCTTGAACAAAGTCACATTTTGACTGCAGTTTACACTGTGTGCTGCATCTAAAATACTTGATGCCTTTTTAAAACTTCATTTAACCAAATTTGCCTGTGCCAGTCTTCATTTAATAAAAGTTGTGAATCCTATTTTTTTCCACAACAGGCTTTCCGCCTGATATTTTCTGTTTAGAGTAAATTTTTCTGAGCAGTTAATGAGTTTTCTGTGGCTTGAAATGTTCCAGTTGTGACCTTCCCTCCATGTAAAAGCCAGTCTAAGTTCTTCCAAGCATCTTTTTCCCCGTCTTCATTTTCCTGGACGGGTCGCAAACCGTTACTGTGACATAAAAATGATTCACACAAGCTGTTAATTAAAATGTTTTCTCAAATGAAATGTTTCATTTACACCTGATCTCCGGAGATTTCGGTCTCGACTTACTGCATTACGTTTCTCACATAAATTCTGTGCTTTATTTACTGCTACATTCAACTTGTAATTTCTCAAGAGAAACAGGAAAATGGCTGGAAAACATTTCAAATACGCCTGAAACACAAAGACTGGAAAACACGAAGCTTCATCTCTGGAAAACGATCAGAGCTGCAGAGCTTGTGTCTTAAAACATTTCAATGTTTGTTAATCAGAAAATATGTCACAAAAAAAAATAAAAAATCTCAGAAGTGTACAGATCTAATCTAAAACTGCACTTAAACCTTATAGGATATTTATAAAATCTGTATTGTATGCATCATATTGCACCTGAGGCTAGCAATTATAAGCTAATTAAAGCTCTTCAGCCTTTCAGGTTTACCTGAACTACTTTTTTCAGATTAATATTGAATTATCACATCTCCAGTACATCCTGAAGAACAAATTACTGTCCACTTTATTAGATTTGCTTCCTGTCTTAACGAGCGACTGAATAGGTGTGACTAATAAAGAGGCCGGTGATTGTGTGCCGAATGTCACCAAAAAAGTTTTCCGATCTGAACTTGGAGTTGTGGCTCATTACTGCACTGGAATCCTTCGGTAAGATTACATCTTTAATATTTCTAAATATATGCTAACATACATTGTGTAAGTGAGAAATTGTTAGATTTTCTTTTCTTTAATATTCATAAATGCATCTTGAATATTTAATAATCAGAAAAAGACCCTAATACATTCAAAAGGCCCTGAAAAAGTGATAAATGACATCCAATAACCTCTAACAATGCTGGCGGATATCTCACTCGACACACGGAGCCGAAATAGAAAAAAAATTACTGTTATTACATAAAACTGGAACATAAAACAACTGAGCAGTCATCTAAGGAAGAAAACAAGTGGGAAGAAAGTAAAGAAGGTAAAACAAAATGAAGGAAGAAGAGTTGGAAACAAAGAAAAGCAACTTTTTTATTCATTTAATGAGTCATTACAGACTCAACATGAAACTTTGTGAAACCCCCCAAGGCTCTCGGTGCATCTTTTCCCAGGCAAGATCAACACCATTACACAAGAGCAACAACAACAACAACAACAACATCTACAACAGCAACAACTGTGCTACAGTGACACACCGCCCAATACACGGATGATGCACATCATTAACACCACAGCCAGCCACACATTAGCACACACTGGTAAGTCTGTCATGTGACTCAGCATGGAGCCCCGCACTTCAGCGGCTCCCATCGGGAAACCAGGTGGTGTCGCGGGGAGCGAGCCCCAGTGGAGCCATCGTTCGGCGATTAAGAAGTAGTCTCTCACTGTTGCCAGGACGACAAGTGTAGTCTTTCAGAGTTTTTTTTTTTTTTATAAATTCAGGTTCAGGTTTCGTCACAAGAGCAACAGCAACATCCACAGAAGCTGTTAACAAGTTGACGAACATTTCACATCAATCTGGGTGATTTTGTGACGTTTGTTATGTTTCTAGTTGCGATTTCTGGTCATGTTTACAGTACAAACACTGGAGTCACTCTGCACATAATCACACAGCGAAGCTGAAGCGAGAAGAACGAAGCGATAAGCAGCGTAGCGTCAAGAGTCCGCTGAGGTTTCTGACTTACACTGAATCAGGTCTCCCCTGGTTACAGTTCAACACGGTCACAAACTGAGCCACAGCGCACAACGTTTGCCTCACAAGCATCACAACAACTTCTTTCTGTTTTTATTGTTCTCGTAGTCCTCTTGGATAGTAATATACAGGAACTGTGAAGCATAGAGGAAATTACTGATGGCATCTCTGCAGTCAGGTTGGAGTTTAAGCAGGTAGGTGTCGAGCTAATGGAGGCGATCTGAATTTTAGTGCTGAACAGGAAGTTGTTTTAACTCCCTCACTTCCTCCATCTCATCCTCTGATTTCCAGACCCTTCTTCTCCTCTCCACATCCTCAGACATAAATGGCAGTCCGGGAGATGACAGAGCCGTCCCTCTGGGACTCCATGTCGTCGTCGAGGTACACATCCATTTCTGCTTCGCCGCCATGACCTCTGTGGGCATGATACGCCGGAGGCAGCGCGTTCCCGCCGCCTCCAAATCGATTGTATCGCTCGTCTTCCTCCTCGATGCTGTCATCCAGGTTGAACTTCCTCCTCTCGGCTCCATCCATCTCACCGCAGAGGAGGATGTCATGGGGGGTCGGCCGGGTTCCGGCGGGGGCGTGGTGGAGGTGGTGGTGGTAGCTGTTGGGTTTCTCCGTCAGGGTCCCGGTGGCGTCGCAGCCCTCCCGGTACGTGTACACCGGCCCGTTGTTGTTCGCCCCCGTTCCGTTCTTGCTGCCGTTTCCGGAGCCGGTGAATAGCAGGCGGGCTTTGTTGCCGTAGTCGGAACCGTTGCTGCCTCCGTTGCCCGCCGCCACAGAGTCCCCGCTGCTGGGGAAGCCCCGCCTCTGTTGGCGGCGGCTGCGGGTCAGGAGGACAACGACGAGAGTCACGACCAATAGGAGGGCCAGCAGGGAGCCGATGACCGCGCCCGCCACTGCGCCGGCACTGGACGGATCCTCCAAGGCTTCTGCAGAGGGGATGGAGGGGTTGAAATGAGGGAGTGAGTGGAGGAAGAGAAAAAGGAAGGAATTGATGGCTGTAGTTCTTCTTCTATTGTAAGTGGTGATGATAGCACGTGTGTTACAATCCTCTTACAAGTGTGTGGTAATGTTCTTCTCAGTGTAATCCCTTGGTGAGGGTGCAGTCATTGCTGGGATCAGGCTGAATGGGACTCATTCACTCTCCCAGCTGCTTTTTGTGCGACATTTTGCAGACATTTTGCTCTACATTTATGTCTGTCCAGCTGTCGGTTCCCCTTTTGTTGCCCTCTCCCCGCTTTTTTTGGCAGCTGGAGGGGGGTAAAGCCTTTTCAACTTTGGGTTGGTGTGAGCCAAGTTTGCCTCTCCATTCATGTTTCAGTTGAATATTGAAACAAGAATGAAGTCGAGCGTACAACATCAGCGAACACAGGTTTGCTTTGGACCTCATTTTTTGTCTCTGAAACGGATTAAAGGTTTTCGGTCCAGCAGAGCGACACAGACAGACACAGAAGCAGAACCAGAACAGAGAGGTGAGGGTGTTAATTGAGGAGAATGAAATGAGCACAATTGTGCCTGGAAAGTGTTTAACATCCCCAAGCCCTTCCAGTTTGACCCTGTCTAATTCCCTTTCTCCTATTTGTACCCGCTCCACATGCCCTTCATCTCCCCTCTCATTGTCCAGTTCTCTGCTGTCGCTGCCTTTCTCCATCTGACCGCTACTGGTCAGCTAGTCAAACCATTGGGCAAAATGATCACCTGCTGTTAACCTGGGACCCCATCCAGACCTCACTGACAGGCAGCACACAAAGGTACAAGTCCACACTGCAGGAAGGCTAAAGCCAGGCAGGTTTTAGGAGGATTCTCAGTAGATTGAGAAAGAAAAACAGCATCTGGCTCAGATGGTGTTGGATCTGGACGAACAGATTCATGCCGAGCTAAAAGACAATGTCAAACCAACCATGTGGAGAATACAGTGAGCACCACCCAGTGAAACACCAGGTTTCAGGAAAGTAAATGTTTGATGAAACATAAAACAAACCTCCAACAGCGGAAATATCTAAAAAAAAAAAAAATCTAAAAGATACAATAACATGGTTACATGGGTGTGTACATAAAGTATTACTATACTATCTTGATCTATAATTTCATCTCTTCTTGGACTCAGATAAATAACTCCTCCTTTTGCGTTTGTACCAAAAGGACTTGGGTCAAAACGGACTTATATTTGGATCTGTTCATAACACCTCGTTCCATAACAAACAGTTCAGGTCAATTAACTGGAAAACAACCCGATGTGTTTCATCAGATCTTCATTTTACCCCTGAGCATGTTGGGAGATTTTAGCCATACCAGGATGATTACATTTGGAAGAAAGGTTTCTGTCGTCCAACTTCTTAGTTTGTACAAATGTAGAACACATTAGATTTAGTTACATGCAGAACATGACTAATAGAGGATAACAATGTGAGAACCGCCTGACCTCTTGATCCACTTCCTTCTGATTTTTCCACTCAGGAAAGAGAAATGTTTTAGTTGTTGTTACATTACTGTATTAAACTTCTGCTAGTTATTGATGTCAGCTCTTATGTACAATGAGATCATTTTGCCCTTTAACCCTTTTGCATGCTGCAGCTTTAGCTACAAGATGATCGTTTACGTCACAAACACCAACCGTTGCAACAGGGGTGTGTAAACTTTTCACATCCGCTTTAAGTATGCAATTACACACTGTCATTTTTTCTTTTTGTAGTTGAATTACATGCAGACTTCCCTTTGAGAAGCTGTACAATTACAGGAGAGCAGAACAGCAGCAAGTCTGAGCTCCTTTTTGTTTTATGCAAATGACTTGCTGGTTCTGCCAGCTCTCCTGGAAAACACAGCCAGGCACGCCAAATCAAGCAATCTAAGGTTTACTGAAATGATGCCGTTAGGGTATATGTGCAAGGGAAGCAACATTATGTGAATGACATTGTTTTCCTTCAGAGACATCACATTGGACACTGGATAATGGCCTCTCTGGAGCTGCAAAGTGTGGTTATGCTAACAAAACCAGCAGGGGGATGTCACTACAACCAGGCCTGGATTGAGAGCCTGTGATTCATGCAAATTGTTCATTCTGACAGTGCAGAGGGAAAAACAGATGAAAGAAGAGAGGAGCTGAGCAAAGGGACAGCAGAGGAAGCCTGAGAAGGCTTTTGGTGGAGGGAATAGAGAGTAAAGTTGAAAGGAGAGGGCTGGTTGGTTTTAAAACACCGGTTCAGATGGGAAGATGAAGCCAGGATGACACAAACCGGCTGTGAGAGCAAGGCGGGGCTCAGGGGAAAGGATACGATAGCTAAATTAGGAGGCAGTGTTTATATCCAATGGAAGTGATAGAATGTACTAATGATGAATCCAACTTTCCTGTCCTACTTTCCCCTCTTTTCAAACTTACAGACTGGCATTGAAACACAACATGTGGGCCAAAGTGATATTTATTTTTATTGTGCCATTTATATTTTAGGCATTAGTGGCATTTATCAAGTGCCTGAGAGACGGAGAGACAGCTGAATAATTGCCTTTTGTGAGAGGGCCTTTGGTGGCTGTCATCCTTCTGTTAATCAAGTGCTAAAAAGTCCATTATTCTGCATAGGCTATACAGACAATGCACCTAAAAAGGTCATTAGAGCTGGCATGTTCATTTTTCAATAGATCAGGTCACTCACAGGAGCAGTGTGAATTTCTCTCCATTTTTCTACAAAACCTAATGACTGCTGATATTTTAACTAAAATTATGCATAAAGCAACTATCTTCTGCAATGAGGAGCAATCATGTCTCCCCTAAATTAAACAGAAACACTTATTTGTTTATTTGTTTCCAATACCTATGCTGTTCTTTTTGCAAAAAGATTACTCAAGAAAAAATGCAAAAATGAAAACATCAACACTGTAAGAATATCAGATGGCAAATATAAGCATAAATAATGGTCCATATTATGACTTAGCACAACATAAATACACTGAATTGAGCTGAAATTGAATGTTAACCAGCTGTTCTTTTAAAGAACAGAAAATAAACATGCAGCTAGCTTAAAGAAAGGCCTCGTTAGCTATTTGTTTAGACTAGAGGCCATATTGTCCAGATGTTAGCTTAGAAACTAGCCTGTTAGCTTTGTAGTTATCCCACCCTCCATTAATTAGCCTTCAGCTCCACTTTCCCCTGAGAACGTTTCCAAACTAGTCACTCTGACGGTCGTCTCCTGTTATTTCTGTGCCGTCTGTTTCTAATCCACTAAGCCAGTCGGTAGCTGTCTTGAAGTCAGAAACTTATGGGTTCAATTCTAGTTTATTCCTCTGTCTTTAGAAGAGCACTTACCCAACGATCTCAACCACAAGCTGCCTACCAATCAGCAGATGTAAGACGATGTGAACGTTGAGTGGGGCGTTAGAAAGCAGACCGACGCTGCCTGTGTTTTTAGACTGTCATGAAAAGATCAGATACAGGTCACATTACGTCAAACATATCAGAACTGGGTCACTTCAGGCTGCAGTGTGAACGCAGCCTTAATATGCAAACGGTCTTTGAGCCATTATCATAAAAATGCTGTGTAAATTCAATTCATTTAATATTACATTTTAAACATCAGTGGAAAGCTGACAATGTGTGGACATTTCCCATCTCCACTCCATTAGTTCAAAGAAAAATAAATATTGATTGGCACTCTCAAATAATGAATACATTAATGTTTAATTTCATCACTTATCATCCATCAAAACCGGATATAGCATGTAAATGCTTTACAAGGATGGCAAAAGTGGATGTTATGTTTAGTGATGTTTTTAATAGATGCAGGCTTTATGAGGGCGTTATCCGACATCATTTATTACAATCTAAGACACTAATGGATCCCAGTTTAGTGCCGACAGTCAAATGCCAGATTTACGATCAAAGTTTAATGTCAAATTCTTGTCAACGAGAGACACTTTAGTAAACACTCTTCAGTGCGAATACTCCCCCCTAAAAAAGTCAAAAGGAGAGGAGCCTATCATAAGCGAGAAAATAGGCCACGCTTGTCATCCTTATTTCTCGTCAACAGAGGCAGGCTGGCTGCATTAAGAAGCACAGTGATAAATGTCACAGAGAGAGGCAGGAGGGCTTAGATCAGCCTCTGTATTAGTGTCATGAACATGGAGGAGATTAGAGGAGAGGGAGAGCGAGAGACCCGTGAAAACTACCCATTTCTTCTTGGCTCCACTCACAGCGGTTGGGATAATCTAAAGCAGATGATTGGAGATGTGGGGAAGCAAGGTGGAAAGAATTAGGGCTGAGAGGGACGGACAAACAGCCTCAGAGAGAGGCGTGAAAAACTAAAATAAACCCAAATCTGAATAATCGGAGGGTCTTCTTCTCCGCCTCTCTCCCTCTTTCTGCACTTTTTTCATTCTTTGAAGTGGGGCATGAAAACACACCACAGGCTGTCAGTTCACACCAACACAGAGACGACTGACTCCAATTAAATGCTGCTTTTGGTCAAGGACGTCTAGTAATGTTGAAATTACTAAGAACCAAACACTAAAACACAGAATGAGGAAAAATATGAGAGAGCAAAAAAGTGTCAAAGAGGGAGGATTTTAACAAAATAACCAACTTTTCCACATGTTTTACTTTAAAGATACAAATCTGAGACAGGACACTTTGTAATATATTCTATCATTTACTGCTTCCCCTGTAGTGAAATGTAAAAGTGTAAATATGATGGATTTTATTAGCAGGTTTAGACTAGAGATGAGTCACAGATCAGCACCTCTTTTAGCTTCCAGCATCTAAAATACAGCTTCCAGATTCAGTGTGAAGGCCTGGAGATCTTTTCCTTGGGAAGCCATCAATACATTATCATTCAAACCACATCTGTTCACAAGGCATAAGTACTGCACCAAAACCCAAGGAGAGAACTAAAAAACAATATTTAAGTTTGAAAAGACAACTGTTACACTGAAGCACAGAACA